CCGCACAAGATTCCATTACAATCAAGCTCTTTTCTTCCAAATTTGCGAGTCGAATACTTGTTGACCAATGCTGGGTCAACAATGATGCAAGAAGCAGCAAATGGAGCACCCAAATTAAATGTATGTCCGGCAAACGTCGGGGAATATTCGTGACGACTTCAGCAACAGGATTCAAGTATTTTCCAAGCTTTCTGGTGAAATCCTTTGGTGCTTCATCCGATTGTTTCGTTCCTTCGTTGGCATATTCAGCTTTCATACTCATCACCAACTTCCTTTCATACGGAGTTGCACCCAGTACCTTTCCTGAAAATAATAATGAGGAAAATACAGCGTGTTACCTGGGATAATGGTTCTGTTATTCGGAAGCAAATGCATTCAGGAAAAACACAAAGGTTTTTTCCTCCTCCCTGAAATTATTGAGAGCAGTCTTTACACAATAATTTAAAGTTTCAAGAACAAATATAAATTCACTGTAGGTTGAGAGAATGATGATGAATGAAAACTTCCCAGTTACAGCCAGATTTCACAACTCATGCTACAGCAAGGGTGTCAGAAATGTGTTAGGCTAGATATTTAAGCAATATTTAAAATTGAAAAAAAAGGATAATTGGTAAAACAACAAAAGATTTGAATTCCTTAAGTGGATGACTCATTCTGAGCAACCTCTGTGACATGCATGGGGAACTCTGGCTGTAATTTGAAAATTTTCCCTTCTTCTCAAACAGTGAATTGAAAACTGATTTTGAAAACCCAAAAAAAATTGCAGAACCTTAGAACATTAAGGGCTATGTCATGATTTTAAAAATATCATTTCTACTATAAAAATATCCAGACGTTGCATCCAACTGGGACAACCTCTGTATGCAAGTACAAGGATTCAATTCATTACAGGACAATGAAGAATCCATTCTGAAAACTTTGCCTCAAAGTATGACCCCAGGTACCCATCACATTAGCACAAAAAAAAAAAAACGCAGGAGCAAATAATGGACATAATCAACCTCATCAAATACTCCAGACCAGTGCTCCTCAGCTTTTTTGGGAACACCAACTGAGTTCCATAAAATTTCTTGCAGACTGGCAAATTTCCAAAGAAATTTCTGCAGACTGGCAGAGTTTCATAAAATGTTTGCAGACTCAAAAAAGTTTTGTTTTAAAGACTTTATGGGAGGTATTCAAAAAGTTTCTGCTTTCTTGCAAAAATTATGCCAAGAGCCTATAAATTAGCTATAGTGGAATGTCTTCAAAATTCAGAAAGGTGGGATTGACAAAAGGTTTCTCAGAATGAAAAAAAATATGTAACATCATCAGCTAGTGAAAATTGGTCTGTAGTGTTATTAGGAGAAAAGCAAACTTAATTTTCATCAGATAATTTCATTTGCCAAGTCCTTTCCAAAATTCTAAATAAACATAACAGACTTCCTTGCTATACTTTTGATACATTTTTTATGCCAAAGAAATTCTCCTGCGGACCAGCAAAAAAAAAAACTTCTGCAGACAAGTGCTGGTCTCTGGACCACAGGTTGAGGAAAACACTGCACAAAGCCCAAGGAAAAGCAGAAAACCCACCATTCCTGTCTGCGCAATACCTTTTCCCGTGCCAATATAATCTCAATAAATGCGACGCAAAAAATGAAAAAAAAATCCACCAACTTGTTGCTCTGCTGAATTTCGCATTAGGAGTCGAGCATGCCGATCCATTGCGAGAACGAGCTCGTCGTGGCGGAGGAGTAGGTGGCACACCAGGAAGAAGCAAATGTGATGGACTAACTGATGGCTTCTGATGTTTCACATCTTCAGCCGAAGAAGCAGTGTTCTGCGATTCTCCAGTGTTGGCTAAAAGTTTGTCCAGTGCAGTTGAGCTCAAGGATTTGCGCCTCATACCAGCTTGCAAATATGCAGCCTCTTCTTCTTCCGAAGGCGCAGCCGCGTGGAACTGTGACACCGACATCAACACCTGACATCAGAAGACATATAATCATGGCATTTAAAAAATATGAATAAGAATACCTGGGCTTTTAGATCGATTTTAAAAGTAACGTCCAAAAATCTATTCAATTAATATTTAATTCAATTGATCAAAAACATATCATTACTCATGCATTTATACTTGTGTCAGGAATGATTTTAGGAAGAAATAAATTCACAATGAGTTTAGGAATGAATGTAACAAAGAATTTCTGATCGACCGGGGTGAAATTTAACCCTATTATAAGGTTGTTGTAACTTGCTCACACACAGTATTTCCCAGCTCTGAGAGAAGTGAAGTTTTTAGATAAAATAGGAAAACAGGAAAAATATCCTTCAAAGATAAATAACACTTTTAGGATTTCCAGAAATTTGGCAATGAAAAGAACCTCGGAGGATTTGAGGAAAAATGGGTGACTCCCGGTTCACACAAAGATGTATATGAAGACAAGTTTTCTGAGAATTCAGATTCTTGGTTGGTTATTTTGGCGTGACAAATTGTACTCTACCGTTGATATTTGCGACAACTTGCTCTGCCATATGTTCAAGGTGGCTAGTTGAAAATAAAAATCCATAAAGAAGAAATTTCTGAGAAAAATCCATCTTGAAAATAACGTCCAAAATATATTTAATTAAATAATTCAAAAACATAAGTATTCATACCTTCAATTGAACTACCATGGTAAAGGAGGCCAGTTGAAAATGACCACCCATAAGAAAGAAATTTCTGAGAAAAATCCTTATGAAAAATAACATTAAAAATGTGTGAAATTAATTGCAGTAATTGCTTTTAATTGCCGTGTCATGTTTAAGATGGCCAGTAGAAAATAACTACCCAGGAGAAGGGAACTTCAAAGATAAAATTGAAATGAAGTCCCAAAAATGATTTAATTTACATTCAATTATACAGTATGAAAATGATGAGAACTCGTGCCATTCCTCCCACTGCCATGCTTAAGATGGCCAGTTGAAGATAACTACCCAAGAAAAAAAAAAATTTTCCAAGGAAAATCCATCTTCAAAATAACGTCCAAAATTGACTTAATTAATATTCAATACATGTAATAAAAAATATCAGTACACATGCCATTATACTGAACTTGGACTGTCATGTTCAAGATGGGCAATTAAAACCTTCCTTTAAAAATAATTTTCTACATGCTTCATGGCATTTTCCTCTTGATTTCGTCTGGATTAAAATTAGAATTTTAGAAATGATTAAATTCTCATAATTAAACCGTTCCTCAGAAAATTCGATTCACTTCATCAAATATATACTTCAGAATACAATAAATTCATTTTCAACGCGTCACCTTTCGTTGTTCCGTGTTCATCGAATTCAAGTTCAGGACTTGCTCTCCAAGGGCCTTGTAAAACTTCTCCAGTGATGACCACGCAATGTCTTCAATAAATTCTGCAAAATTACAAACACTCATATCATCATTTGGAATCCATTCCCGCGAGTCGTCGATCAGAAATGCATGTGAAAAAAAAAAAAAAAGGGATTCCATCAGTCTCAGAATACAATGTAGTGTTGAACTCAAAGACACGTTGCGGATATACGAGAGGGCCAAGTAAATACTAGTATTTGCAAAAAACACGCTTCTGAGTAAACTCACTTTTGACAAACCTCCACACGTTTTTGACATATTTAAGCTCAGCAGACACAATTAGCCTCGTGGAGTTTGGCCCGAGTCGTTGAACGCAGTAGTGAATTTGCACGTAGAAGCTCTCCCCGTAAGGTATCCCTGAGTGCGTCATTTTGGCATCGACTGAGTAGAGGTAACCGTGTTTCGAACAGGACAAAATTCGCTGAAAAAAAGTAAAAAACAGTAATTGACCAATTGTTAACAAGTCGCAACAACGACGACGGGAGAAAAAGCGAAGAAAAAGTAATTTGTTTCACGGCCTGAAATTCAAATTATTATTGAAATTTCCCGTTCGTTATCTTGTGCGTAAAGTAATTCTTGAAGTACAATATATGGAAATGGACTTTCACACTAAAATTGCACAGTATTATAGTTTCAACTTTTTAAGGCTCCTTCTTAAGAGGGTCACTTTTTTAAACTTACGATTATCGGATGAACATCCCACACGCGCAAAATATTTAATTTCAAGCCACTTATTCACAATGATGATACAGTAAAACTCCGTTACAACAAAACTCGTTTTAACGAATGATTTTCTTGGTCCGTGCAATTTCATCATCACAGATAGGGACAATGGTTATACAACTTTTGTTATAACAAACTAATTTTCCTACATAATATCGTCAGCAAACGAATTTTCACAAAGCAAGTTTATTCATTCTCACAGTACGGAAAAACCAAACTTGCGCATGATGATTGAAAAACCTTGAAAAGATCAATGATTAATAAATTATATACAAATATATAAACAGTGCATAAAAATGTGATGAAATAATCTTGTGCAGAAACTTTAGCACTGCAGGAAGTATGAAGCTCAGATCAAGAAGAAATACATGAAGGTAGAAATTTGTCTACCTTCATTTTAGAATTTGAAATTGGCTAATTTTTGGAAAGAAAAATTTGCCAATTCCAAAAGTGTTTTTGGAAGAAAACTGTTCCATCTCAGGGAAAATAAAATGAATAAATGCTTTATTACTCACTTTTTCTGTTTTGTTTTAGTTCTTATTTCAGTGTCAGTATATATATATTTTTAAATAAAATTGAAGTAAGGCAATGTCTGTGCGGAATTTTTCTGCCGACTTTGACAATAGTCATGAAATCCCTGAAAAGGGTAACAGAGAAACGAGTTTCTTGAAACTCAATCGGCACGTCTCAGGACGCGTCTTGAAATACTGCAAAATAATCCCCCTGACAGGGCGGCAAGACAAAAACGATTGTACACATTCGAAAAACAATTTCCTTCTCTAGCAATCAACCCCCTTCTTCTTTTTCTTATTATTCAGCAAGAAGGTCATATGACCCCCATTTGTCTCCTTCCAGTAAAAGAGGGTCCAAATTTTGCCAGCTGCTGGCCACAACCCTCTGGATTCTTTATTCTTATTTTTTCTTTGGCTCCCGAGAACCATTTTTTGTTTGAGAAACGCGACACGCTTGACTTTGAGATGTTTTCGAAAAGGCAGCTCTAGAGTAATTTATACTTGTCTTCGGAATCTGCGCAGCCTTGTAAAGTACTTGTCTTTGAAATTTGCACAGCCTTGTAAAATTTACGAGTTAGAAGAAAACACCCGGTTCTCGGGGAGCAAAACATATTTTCCTAAATCACCTACCAACAGCCAGTTGTTGTAAAAACACCAGCACCTGGTATTTTTGAGGAACCCAACAACTGGGGAAGGTACTCAGATTTGAGACCATGTTGCCTAAAAAATTATATAAGACCCTTGACTTCCTGTGACAGAACACAGTTCAAATTTTGCGTGCAAAGCGTTACATTGTGTTCTTGAAATTATTATTCTCTGAAAAATTCCTAAGACCGCGAAAACTGTTGTGTATATTTCTACCTCTGAACCTGTTGTGAATATTTTGTCTTGTCAATTTTGCTTGTTGATTTGAACAAAGGCTTGCGCTGTTTGGGAGAGAATCCCTGGTCGGTTCGCGCACCGGCCAATTGTTGTGTTAAATTCTTTTCTCTGACCAAAAATCTTTACCAACTTTTGTCACATAATCCTATCTTATAAGTCTTCTCAATCATCTTCTATAAGCTGCTGCAATTCTCAACAAGGTGTACGGCTTGAACATTTTTTCTAACTTCCTCTGACTAAAACCGTACAAGGTGGTCTGTTCTGCAAAAATCTGTTATTTGGGAGGTATGTTGTGCAGGGGTAATTGACTGTACATCATATTTGACTCTTTTATGTAAAAAAAGTAAAATTTTTTTTGGAAAAATCAAGCTTTTTTGAAATCAAATTCCAAGCATGAAACTCCTGTGAACATGTCCACCCTTTCCACAGTTCCCAATTCCTTTCAAACTACGAGTTCCAGCTCACTTTTGCACTACACTTGAAAATGTAAAACTGTAAGCAATAAAAAGTTTCCAAACTACTGTAATATTACAGTTGAACCTCCATAACTCAAACTTCCCTGAAACAAAATCCCCATAAGTCAAATTTTTTTCAGGTCCTGTCTGAATCCCCTTAGAACTTATGCATTTAAAACCTCTCTAATAAGTCAAAGGCTTTTTCCCTCAAGCCTCCAAAATTCAAATTTCCTGTGGACTATTGGCTTTTATTTACTTGACACAGGAAACAAAAAATGCAATGAAACATAAATTGATTCATTTTTCAAATGAGGCTAGAGACTTAATTGGGCAAATGAACCCTGCCTCCAATCTTTGTCAACTTTTGTCACATAGTTCTATCTTATAAGTCTTCTCAATCATCTTTTATAAGTTGCTGCAATTCTCAACAAGGTGTACGGCTTGAAAAATTTCTTCTCCTGATAAAACCGTACAATGTCAGAAAAAGAGAGAATTGTATTCCACATTTTGAATTTTCTCCAGGATTTCATCAGAGGAAGTTAGATACAGCAAGACCCCCACATGAGGACACCTCAACCTGCAGACAATTCGACATAGGGACAATTATTTTCTCAAAAAGAATTAATAAAAAAGGCCCAGCATGAGGACACTGACTCAACATAGGGACATTAAGTTATAAAATTGCACATACATTTCAGGCCAAATTACAAGAAACAGATATTTCCAACCCTAAAATTGATAGTAAGAAAAGTTCTAGGGCATTTCTCTCACCAATTTACCACCCATATAGCCATTTAAAAAACCTCCAGCAGAGAGGGACATCCTTCTCTCTTTTTCACTTCAATATCATTTTTACAGCCAACATTTCTATGTATGGTACAGAGGTATCAGTATTCAATTCCCCAAATTTCCATATTGTGTTGAAATATATTGATTGGAATAAGTTTAAATTGGGAGACAAATTTTTTTTCATGGAATTATGGTCAGTATTTTTTACATAAAAACACCAATTAAAAATTATATAATGTAAGTCTAAAGGAAAATGAGACTTGACTTGGGGGCATTTCAACTTAGGGACACTCTTGATGAACTAATTGTGTCCGCATCTTGGGCTCTCACTGTATTTGAACAATTTTTCACAAATCTATTGCAAGAATTACAATACACTAACAGTACAGTACTTTAAACTTTGAAATATTCATCTTTGTACTCATTCCACAAAAAGTGTCAATTCTACATGCCCATATAGAACCTTGAATCTTATTACAGTAGAAACTTGTAATACAAAAATCGCGTAAAACAAATTTGTTTTCTAGGTCCCCGTTCAATAGCCACAATAAATGTCAAAAGAGTTCTGTTAGAACAAAGCTTGTTTGGTGGTCCCATCAATGATGGCTTTCTTAGAGCAAGAATCTTCTGCATATTGGATTTCTCTTGTAAGGAGATTTTCCTGTATTTGGATCATGATAAAAAATCAAATAAAAAGTGCCAAAAGAAACAAATTCAATTCAAGAAAGTACCTGGTCATGAAATACTTCTGTCTTGGTACAACACTTTTATCCAAAGAAAGCCACAACATCTTGAAGAAATACTTGTAAAATAAAAAACACTTCAAATCCTGAAAATACAGTTAGACCCTGAGATGCGGATGTAATTGGTGCATCAAGAAAATTCCTGATGCTGAAATGTCCTTAAGTTGACTCTAATTTTCCCTCAGACCTCAATGCTAATGTATTTAATTGGTTCTCCTTATTCTCCAAAATTAAAAATAAGTTCTCAAAAAAATTTAATAAAAATGTTTTCCCTCATCTTCAAGTTGCAGAAAACAAGAGTGCAGAACAAAACCACATGGAATTTGATCTTTTGGTTTCAAAAGAAGATCAAAAAGCAAAGAAAAGAATACGTCTAGCTAGAATATGCACAGATGGTACATAAAAACTCTGAAACCAGAAGCACAAAATCAGCTTGTTTTTGATTGTGACTTCAGTCAAATTCATCATGAAACGTTTATTTTATTTATTTTTGTGAATATTGTGCAGAATTTTAGGACAGAGCAACAGAAAAAATTGTTCCCCAGAACCGGGGCAATACCAGATAGCAAAATCAGCAAAAGCCTAGAGAAAGGGAATTGCTCCCTTCCAGTGAAATTTGAACTGGGAGGACAAAATAAAAACATGACCAGCTGCTGGTGAAAACGGCGGAAACGTATCCATTTCTTGAAAAACAATTTGTCCTGAAGCCTTGAAAAAACTCTGAACTGTCCAACATTGTGTTTTCTTCAGAAAATCATCTTATCAGGATATTCGTTTACTGCTGAAAATCCCTGTCAAGCTTGTAAAACCTACACCCAGTGCCGGGAAAAACATGCACAGAACCCCAAAAAACAGCACTAAAATTTGCTGTCAACCGCCAACATCTGGCACTCTACAAAACTGTGAAAATCCCAGCACCTTGGTGTTTTTCTGTCTTTGGAAAATTGCGCCAAAAGGAGTGGGGAAAATTGCATAAAACCCCCCAAATTTTGTGTAACAAACACAGTCTAGATTTGAAAGCCAACAGGCCTTTTGTGCGTACATGGAAATTTGTAATTTACAAACTGGTTTGAAATTTACAAAACCTTTTGCAGACTTTACAAAAATCAATAATCATTTCTTCTGTGTGTTGTGAATTCTATTTTCTCAAATTCTGGAAGCATCTTTTTGCAATTTACTGTGTTTGATCTCTTGTAAAAATCTGAATACAAACACAATTCTGTGTTAGTATCCAATATTATACTTCTTTTAATCCTAAATTTGAGGGAATCAGTAAATCAAGACAGAATTACTTTAAACATCATCCCTTTCCATCTCTGGAACATAACCTCAAACTGAAAACCTTGTCACTGTCAAAGTTCTTACAAATTATTCCTTTTTGGACTTCATCAATCCTTTTCAGAAACCATTTTTTCATGTATCTTTTTGTGTGCATTGAATTTGGAAATTTGCGGACCACTCAAAAATCAATATAATTTTTTCTGAGTGTTGTTTAAAACCTTTTCCAAACTCTGGAACTAAGTTAGAAGCCTTGTAAAATTTCCTGATCAATCCTATATTTTGATCAAATTGATCTTTACAAACAAAACTCTGCATTTTTAGTTTACTTCAAATCCTGCACTTGAGAGAATTGGTGAATCAAGAAAGAAACTTTATAAATACTATTTTTCCACTTCTGGAACTGAACCTTGCTTCAATTAAACTTTACACAGTCCAATTTTTGCATGCAAAGTGTTACATTGTGTTTGAGATTTTTGTACTAAAAATTGTCTTATCAATTTACCTTGCAGAAATCTGTTTAGAAATCTTGTGTGCACTGTTGTGAATATTTATGTGTGAATCCTTGTTCCCTGTATCTATATATTAATCACTGAGTTGTGTAACAAAGGCTTGCGCTTTTTGGGGAGAGAATCCCTGGTCGGTTTGCGCACCAGCCAATTGCTGTGTCTGATTCATTTTTTCTCAGATCATCCAAAATTGTAGTTCCATCTTAAAACTATAAATCAAGTTTCATTTTTGTCAGTCTCAATTCTTCCATAAGTCACTTTAATCCTTAAACAAGGTGTACAGCTTGACTTACTTCTCAATAAAACTGTACAAATATAAATTGCTCAATTTATTTAAAAAATATCAAAATTAAAAGTTGTGATTTTCGGGAACATTTCAGAAAAGCGTCCTTAATAACTCAAGCCAGTGTCTGGATGTTTGGCCTGATTTTTTTGGTTCTCAAGTGTCCCGCCTAAGTCAAATTGTCCATAAGTTGGGGTGTCCGCACATCGGGGTCTCACTTTCAGACAGATAACTCGGACCACAAAACAAAAGCTCACCAAGTACTGAGTGGCAGCAATCTTCGAGAAACCGGGTCCAGTCACAGGTACTGTGAAATGCGTGGTTCTTGTTCTTTCCCCTGCAGAATTCGGGGGCATCCATGTTCCAACATCGATACCCGTGATATTCTGGGATCGCAGGGTATCAACAAAGAACGTGGACGGAGTGAAAAGCAGTTGATAAAAATGGTTGATTTGGCAAGAAACCACTTGATCAATCAATCGTCTCTCCCCATTGTGACACGCAGAATCACACGCCACATCCGCACCTGTAAACAGTATATAAGACACACCCACCATCACTCAATCCA